TTCAACCAGGGAAACACTGCCACCTTCTACCTATTTCTGCCACAAAGCAGTAATGTTCAATTTAATTCAATTCATTCGTTATTACATGGTATAAAAGGTAATAATAACTTTATGGAAGGTCAGCAATAGGTCAAAATGGCATACGAAGTTGATTAAATAAAAAAATGCTATGTCAAACAAAAAACAAAAGAAAAATTATAATAATTTGTACCTATTATCAGTATAGAGATCGAGCACTTACAAAAAATCCTTCGAACCAGGGTCTTCAACTAATCAGCGGGCCTTACGAATATATTTATGTGCTTGTTTTTTATTTTTTAACGACTTTTTTGCCCTAGCGCCGTCTATGAGAAATCTATTTCTTCTGACATTCAGTAAACGTAAAAAATACAATAGGTACAATGTCAAAAAAAATCGAATAATATTAACATTGACTTAGAAATAAATGGACGACGGGCCTAATACAAAAACCACGAAAAAAATGTCCCAAGTCAACCTATTTAAACGTAGTGACATGTAAAGGAATATGAAAAAGCTAAAACTTTGAATTTAAATTGTAATGTCATCGCAGTACAGTCTAATTTTGCTTGCTTCACTGTCAGTCGAACAAACGAAGACTAAAGCGTGAATGACGCTCTGTATACGATTTTAACGCCCTATAAATTCGGACACATTTTAGCGCGCACCCGACGTCCATATAATTGTAAGTCAATGAATATTAATAACTAATTGGTACCCAACTGTCAGCATTTACCTATTTTACGGAACTGTCATTTAAATATTCTTCTATGTACGATGATGCTGTAGATATACTCGATGATGCTGTAGTAACAATTGTCAATTAATTATTATTAATAGTGGTATTATTTTAATATGCTTTTCCATTAAGATTTTTTTAATAGAATAGAACAGAATAGAATAGAATCATTTATTTCGGACCATGATCCATAGTAATGTTAGTATACATTAAATTTTTCTTCCGTGCTATGGTTAGTACAATACAAAATTACGTAATTCTAGTGAAATGCCACGTCTAGACCACTACCCTACGCACGTGTAGTTGCACCCAATGTAGTTGGTAGGGGCAGTCCAGCCTGTTGGCAATCATGCACACACGCATCATGAGTGAGGCAGCCTTCTTGCGCTTAATGGCATGAAAGCCATCTGTGTGCGCCTCCGTGAACATGCACTAGTGTCGCGGCAGCCCCATTAGCATCCTAAAGGCGTTGTTATATTGCACCCCTAATGTATTCAGGGTTCTCTGCGTGTACTTCACCCACAGGCTGCTTGTGTAAAAGTTTTGGCAATATGCATTAAATATTGAGATCTTTACATCATCGGTTGCTGCAACGAGCAAACCTTTAATTGCGTCTGGGTATTTATTGAATACTTTAGGTGCCATTTCGCCAATGCTATTTTTCAATAACGCCGTTTTATTACAAATACTCCTAAGTTCATATATTTCCTGGTACGAAAGAAGCTTGCGCTTGTAAGCTAACTTTCTCTTCTGGAAATTCGCTCAAGTTCGTCTTTACAACATGACATCACATCATGTTTAGAACAGACATGGGAAGCTCAAGATACTCAAAAAATCACCCATCACAGAAAAAAGTCGGCAATTCTTTTTTCTCTGAAGGAAAGTTTACAATAGGCCGTTGATGGCCTTGACTGCGCCACCGGATGAGTCGGCGAGCTGAAGGCTGCTAACCCTCGGTACTTAAGGTTGCATAGGCACATCGCTTTTAGGCTTTTGAATTTCTAAATATCATTTCAGGAAATCACACCATATCTATTGATAGATTCTACACTACTATTAAGTACTATTATTTAATAAGGCACGAAAACACGTTATATGACCTTTTTTTTATACAAACTAAGTAACGGGACGAACAAACCGTGCTCCTGGTGGTGAGCGACACGCCTGTCCGTAACAGTTGCAGTGCCACTCAGAGCTTTAAATCT